GCACAATCATGGTTTTGCTGTGTAGGTGTACCCGACTTGTGTTGCCATTATTATACGCGCCTTGTCAACACAGCAGGCAGTGGCTTGGGGCAATAGCCAGCCTGGTATTGAATATTTTAAATTGCAATAGCAGGCTGGCTATTGCACATACCTACTGCCTGCAGCAGAGGAGGGAACTGAAGGAGAAAGTTCTTCAGGTCCTCCTCTGCTGATTGGCAGGAGGCGGGTGCAATAGCCTGCCTGCTATTGGCTATTGCAATTTAAAATAACCATAAGCAGGCTGGCTAATGTTTGCAGCCGCGGATGGGAGACTTGACGCCGGTGTTCTATCAATCCCTCAGACTCGAGTCCGACGGATTGATAGAACACCGGCAGAGAAGGGAAAGGGGGGTGTCAGCGGGGGAATGCTGAGTCATCGCAGTATCTTGTCCCCGCTTAGTATCGGCTGCAGTGGTCTGTGTCCCCGCTGCCTCTGCCGATACAGGCAGGGATTGAAAGGGACCAGCGGGGAGGACAACAGAGGAGCAGAGCTGCGGCAACTAATCGAAAATAAACTACTCGATGAGAATTGTTGCCAACGATTCTCAATATCGATTATAATCGATTAGTTGTTGCAGCCCTATTGAGAACTCTGTCCTGAATCTCTTTCTATTTTAGAAGGGAAATATCAGGAGTCTGTTTAGACTCCTGACATTTCACCGAAGCCCCCACAGTACAGTTAAACAATTAAAAGTTTTTGTAAAAAGGTTAGAAAAAGGATTTACCGTTTCAGCCTTAAATTTTTAAAAATTTTGGTTTAAAAATGTTTATTTTGGTGCACCTCTAGCAGAAGCGTGCCCGTAGGATCTCGGTAAGTAGGGTTCTGCAGAGGGTGGAAGGTGGGATCCTTTAGGTCAGGACTGTGATGCACTAAAATACACTTTTATAGAAAACCAGTCAAAATGGCCCGTTAATGCGTGGGCTGGTGTGAACATACCCTTTACTATTGAACTTCCCTTTCAGGTGTGTTTCCATAATATTCCCTCCATCAGCACCCTTCATTACCCACTCTTATCCAGCAATCGGTGTTGTGTTCTGAGTAAAACAGTCCCATAGCGTTCTCTTCCCGATAGCAGTTTCCATCCAGTCTGTAAAAATAAAAGCTTGCTTACACAGATAACTAATACAAGCCTGGCAACCTTTTTGTTTTCACATGTACACCACACACGTTGGCCAAGTGACAGTGCAGCTTGTGCTAACGCTCATTAGCTGATGGTGTTGACAAGTGCCAGGACACAGTTTAATTTGCAATCAGCTTGTGCTTGTCCAGATTTAGCGGTGCTTTCCAGTGGCCTTTAATAAAATAGGCTGCTAATATCAAAGTCTTGCAAACTGTAATTTGTTTTTACTTTTATAAAACGTTGCAAACGCATTGATCAACCTAAGCAAAGAGTAAAAGTTCATTATTCAAGATGTCATTTCAAGCCGGCAGTAGATTCCAATGGAAGCTTGTAAGTTATTGATCTCAATTGCCCCGATGCATGCTTTAAATAAGGGAGATGTCATTTTACTCATCTTGGACATTAGATCTTGATTCTGCTTTTGTTGCCTTCTGAATCGGTTTAATGATGAGAAACACTAGTGGATACCCGCTGAGTGGTTGCAAATTACAGGTTGAAAAATGCACAGATTGTAAGCCCTCAGGGGCAGGGCCCTCCTTACCATCTTGTCTTGAATTGTATTGTGAATGTAATGTCTTCCTTATATTGAACAGCGCCGTGCAAACTGTTGGCGCTATATAAATCCTGTATTATAATAATGCACAGGATTATTTACCATTTGTTAAAGTCCAGCTTGGGAATGCTGTTAAATTTACCCATGGAGTGGTGTCCCCCTTGTGCTATATGGATACATCTCTCCTTTGGTGGGGTGGCAGAAATAAATACAAATAACCTTAGTCCTCAGCCGGTGCTCTGCCACTGCATAATGACAGGCGCTTGCCATCCTCTGGTACAATGCAGGGCTGCTGGTCCTGATTATGTTTCAAAATACTGTAACAGTTAAAAATATAGTTATAAATATATTAATATGTAAAAGTAGTATTACAAAGAAAGCACATGACGATTATTTCCAGAGTGTGAAGATGGAGCACAGCAGCAACTGTTTCATTTCAGACTCTCTGATTGAAAGGTTGTATTGAGCCTTAAGGTGCCCATACACCTGCCGATTATCGTACGATAATCGCGGGTGATCCCGCGAGCCGCACAGGCCGGTAAGCGCACATTCCCCACTCAGCATTGCAATTATCGGCATGCCGCTTGCGATGATCGCAAGTACGATCTGCCTGTCCAAGATGGGCAGGTCGTACGGAATTTTAATTACCTTACAATCATCGCACAATGAAAGTCGTGCAATGGTTGTAAGGTGTATGGGCAGCTTAGCAAAGATAAAGGGGATGTCACTGTTCCTCAGTTTGAGCTAATGTGATCTTCATAAGACTAAGGGGGTTATTCACAAAAGGGTGAAGAATTTGGAGAAGTGAACAATCTAGGACAACATCACTGAATAGGAAAATGAGCTGAATTGGAGAAGTTTTCCGAATCGGCTATTTTGGCCTAGATTGTTCTTCTCCAGGCCTTCTCCAAATTTTTCACCCTTTTGTGAATAACCTTGTAAGTAGTCCTGGTGCTAAGATCTCCACCCGCTGGCTGAAGATAACACATATAACATGTGAATAGTTTGTATTTGCCAGATGTATACAATACACTCCCTTTAATCTATCAATAGAAATGAAATAACTCACCCAGTCCAGCTGAACCGCACAGCCGTCTCACTGATCTAATTTCTTGGATGATCACTGCAGGACATCCCTCTGGAGTAGGGATAAGCTTGGGTTTGAACTGAACCCGAGCTCATCCATACCTGGCAGGAAGCAGTCAGGGAATTCCCTGCCTTCAACTGCACATAAACAAATGGGTGGGATGCTGGTGACATCAGTGATCTCATGGCCATATTTGGCCAATGACATTGGCCTAATATGTCCACGTGGACATATTAGGTCAGTAATGTCACCATCGTGATGATTTAAGATGATCTTACATTCATTGGCTAAACAAACATGTTTTTCATTTACTTACAAATCGAGCTCATCTACTTCCTGGTCCAGTTCTGGCACAAATGATGTAATGTGCCAAAGCATTGCATCCTGGGAAGGTTACATCAGCAGAGCATTGCTGGGAAATCTCATCTCAGAGAAAGGCATTTTCCTCCCCTGAGATGATGTTCACGGTCACATGTCCTAGTCACATGTGCCAGAGTTCCAGGAAGTAAAGGGAGATATATTCATCTGCCCTTAGTAAACATGGCCACTGTCAGAAGACTGGGGAAGAAACGAGAAATAAGATGCAAAGAATACAAAGCCGGCAATTATCTAGATGTGTCTGTAGATTGTCATTACCAGACATTTCTAAAGGTGCCTGTTGTCTGGCGACGGCAACCCGCAGATAGGAGTCAGCCGTCCGTCCGTTTTTTCTTAACGGGCGGATGGCAAGAGGTTAAAGATATGAGGAAAGGTCCACTTCAAATGTATGCAGCAGGCACAGGTGGATTTGGGTGTGATAGCATGGTGTTAGGACACCATACATAGTTTTAAGTCCATATCTACCCATCTGTGGCCTAATGTAGTGTTAAACTCTCCAAGTTTCACAGTTTGGCTACCCTGGCCTTCCTGTCCAGTACAAGATCACAAGGGACAGAGCAGCCTCCAGCAGCTGTCAATCTACTAGCTTTGAAAAGGGAGAAGCTGGGAGCAAGGAGGGAGGGAGTGCCTTACCTTGCTGTGTTTGTGGAGAGACACACCGCTTACTAGCGCACACAAGGGTGGCTCCATAGGACACTGCACGAGAAAGGATCCACCCTAAAACAGGATATCGGGGGACCAGCTGATTCTGCATGAAACTCAAAGGGTTATTCACAAGCGTGAAGAGTTTGGAGAAGGCCGGAGAAGTGAACAATCTAGGCCAACATAGCTGATTTGGACACATTCTCCAATTCAACTCACTTTCCAGTTTAGCTGTTTTGTCCTAGATTGTTCCCTTCTCCTGCCTTCCCCAAACTCTTCACCCCTTTTGTGAATAACCCTGTAAAACTTTTACACATGAAGGAGCAGCATCCACTACAAGCGATTCAATCAGCAGGGGAAATGGCTTAAAAGCCTTTTGACTTTAATATCACTTTAACAAATTGCTTGGTGTAACATAAAATCCAATTTGGCACCATTCCTAAATATTAGGATGACTTTGCTTACAGGAAATCAGAGTTCTGATACATAAACAACAAGGGCATGTGCTGTTTGCTTTGGGTCAACTAGTCTACGTCGTCATACGATGGTCTGAAATCTCACTCAGTGACATCACGAGGAGGATGCGGCAAGGTGACACCAAAATGACTGACAGACATTTTGGTGTCACCCCCTCTGAAAAGTCCGGCACTCTGTCATGGGCTGAGAGGCTGACAGTTGCACAAGAGAGGAGGAGACCCGGTGGCATACCTTATCCCTCCAGGTGAAGGTCCCCTCCTCCTCTTTCCCGGTGTGAATTGCCAAGATGGCCACCGGCAGGTAAACACGCATGATGTCATTACGCACGTGCGTGATGACGTCCCAGTGGGGGTGTCACCATGCCGTTTCATGATGCCCCTGTACGGATTAGAAGACGAATATTCTATATCGTCAGCATCGAGGTGTTTAAACATGAGATTATTTTCTGACTGATTTCAGAAGATGGACTTTTCAAATACTGGCACACTAACAGATGGCCTGTGTCAACTAGCTTTGAGTTTGTGCTGGTGGACAAATCCTGGGGTGTAGCCGAGTACATTCACCCTTCATGTAAGATCAGTTTGAGTTGCTTCAGAGTTCATTTCCCTATGAATGTTTTCAGTTCTTTTATTGGGACATATTTACGCACTTGGCTTATGGTGTTTTTACTTTTATAAACTTTGTGACCTTTCCTCTTTTTTAGGTGTTTCAGAGCTTGGAGGATCATCACCTGGAAGTGGTTTCCTTTTTCCGGGAGAACGGTTTTCACGGCCTCATTGCCCATGACTCTGAATATGCTTTGTGTAACATCCCATCCTACTACAGTTCCCATGCTCTTAAGCTTAGCTGGAATGGGAAGAATCTGACCACCAACCAATTTCTAATGCAGGAAGTGGCCAAGCAGCTTGGCCTGAAGATGAGCATTTTCCCCATCTTTGCTGCCCTCTTGGGTAAGGTGACAGCCGGAAAATGATAGTACCCTATAATGAGAACCATTATTCCAGTTATATATTCATTAAAACGTTAATTCTATAATTTGACATGACATCAGTAATGGGTTCTGTTCTGATACCAGCCTCCTGTGATCCTCCTGCAGAGCAGTGTATGGTTATCAGAGCTGTTAATCTGATCCGACTTACAGAAGGAGAGATGAGACCTCCTCAGGGTGCTGGTTATCCTTGGGGCAGGTCGTTGAGCAAGTTGTGTTGCTTAAAGCGTATGTAAACCCAAGAAACAAAAATGTAACATGTTGCAGCTTACCAGTCCTCAAATGTGGGGGCTGCATTAGTCTTCTTTATTCAACGTTCCCCCCCCCCCTTTTATTGTAACCTGGTGATCCTGCCTGTAACACGCTTCCTGTCCTCGAATGGCAGTGCTCACTCATCATACTCTAAGAACACCTCTCCTCTTAAGAAAAGGGGGTTAGGTTTGTAGTGCGCAGAGATAGCTAGGAACACTGTAAATGATAAGCAGGCAAAGAGCACAGGAAGTTAGAGGCTTACTAGACTTCAAGCGGTTCAACAGGTGTTTTGGGTTTTTTTTGTGACTTTTTTAGGGTTCATTCACACCAGATGCAGTGCGTTCTGGCCAGAACGCACTGCATTGCGGCCGGCTCCCTTTTTGCGGGGTAGGAGGGGGTGTGGCGTGTTTCAACTTTTTCGTTTTCTTCACATTCGAGCCTCTTGTGAACGTATGTGTGTTTTGCATTTGGCCTGATTTGTAACCAAAAAAAAAAGTCTATTATATTAAAATGGGCAATATGATCTTGCTTTAGGTAATCATATTCTTCCTGATGAAGACTTAGCTGCATTTCACTGGAGCTTGCTGGGACCAGATCATCCTCTTGCATCTTTGAAGGTAATAATCTTTCATATATTTTTTGCCATTTCCTTCTTACAACATTTAAATAAAAGAAAATCAGACAACATATAATACTGTAAACTGGAGGTGGAATCTAGAATACTTTTCAGAAAGTTCACGAGACTCGAGCGTTATCTAATTTTCATTCCGATTGGTTGGATCGGGGCTTTGAAGGTGCATGTACCGGTAGCTGAGGCTGTCGCTACTTGCTGCACTGGGCAATCTGTATCTGGGGGGCACATACAGAGGTAGAAATAGGATCTGAATGGCCAGGAGCTGCCATATGTAGAATGGGATGATCCTGCAACATGCACAGTTATAAATCTTCTCGCCATACAAAGTTTTTTCCGGCCCCCCAGGGGACAAGGTGCATGCCCTATTTTGATGGGTGTTGTGGATGCTGAGCTAACGTGCTCAGCAGAGCGCCCCTCTCCCCACACCTCTGTTCAACCGCTGCTCAGGAGGCAAATAATTAATTAGGTTTGATTGACAGCACTTGTCCCTGGCACCAGGCACTTGTCCAAAACCAGTGCGGTCCCTACACATGCAGGGGAAGAGGGAGCATGTCAGAGCACTACTTCAAACTAGGGATGCCCCGATACCAGTACCGATAATTTTTTTCGGTACTCGCCGATACAGAGTATCGGAAGTCTCATTCAGGAAGCCGAGCGGCGTGTAATGACTCGCCACCTGGCTTCCTGATTAGCCGGGCAGCTTGTAATGACTCGCCACTAGGTGACGAGAGAGCATGGAGCTGGCTTTCTGGCCAATCAGGAAGCCGGGCAGCGTGTAATGACGCGGCACCCGGCTTCCTGACACCCGAAGTATCGGGCTAGGCATCGGAGCATTTGGCCGAGTAAGAGTACTCGGTGCAACCCTACTTCAAACACATGCAAGGTCACAAAAGGCAATCGGTAGACGTTATCTACACACATGGAAGGCCCACAGATCTGGCTCCTTGCATGAAAGAAGCTGACAGGCCATAATGGCAGATATAGAGGTGCTTTACAGGAGGATCGTTCAATGTTTCTATAGAAACGTGGAGAGGAGTATTTCAATATGAATCAGTAGACTTCTAGTTAAGTTTGGTTTTTTTTTTCATTGCTTATGAGACTTCTTTAAAGGAAACCTTGGCTTACACTGAAGCTTTAAAGCCACCCGCTGGGAATTCATATTTCTGAATGATTCAAACTCCTGGGTACCCTGCAGCTCCCACTGGTTCCTCCTGCTGAACTCCTTTTATAGGTACTGGAGACAGTGGCAATGTAGAGGTTTGTAAGAGGTAGTACTAAAAGCTACTGAGGACCCAAGAGATTGTTTTAATGCACTCTGTTGCCCACGCTCCTCCGATCCTAAGACACTGTCCCTCAAAGGTCCTTGGGAAACCAACACTGCCCAAAGTAACAATCCGTGTGCAAAGTATTACTGTTTATTTTTATATATATAGAGCCGCTCCAACTCCCTCAGCCCTCATTCACACTAGAAACGGCCGGCACGTACCGCTCCGTGCTGCGTGCATTGCCGTATCGGGCAGCTCCCGGGAAGGACAGGTGCTACGTGTGATTTAGTACGCAGCCCCTGTCCTTCTCCATGCGACTTTCCGTCCATACGCTCACCTCTAGTGCGGGTGCCTGTTTCCTGGCTTGGATGCAGACAGGATCCATCCTGTCAGCGTACGAGTACGCTCACCAGCACGGATGTGCAGGGTGTAGGGCGGTGTAGTCCCATAGAGAAGGACAGGGGCTGTGTACTAATCACACGCAGCACCTGTCCTTCCCGGGAGCAATACGGCCATGCATGCAGCACGGAGCTGTACATGCCGGCCGATTCCAGTGTGAATGAGGGCTTATATCAGCCCGTTTCTGGACAGAAGTGTTGCAGAGAGAGACCAATGTGCTCTTCACAAGAGCAGCAGTCTCTCTGCAGTGGTCCACATGTGCCTAAGTGTGAGTCACAGCTAGAACTGTCATGTCAACAAAGCCTACACTCCCCCTTGGGTGTAGAACAGCCTTTTTCAACCAGGGTGTCCTCTCCATCTGGCTCAGGGGCAACTCAAATTTTCACGCAGCGCCATGCGTTTCTAAGGTGCAGGCGGACTCGGGGAAGAGAACTTCTAATGTGAAGGGGGGTACTCTGCTGTGAATGGGAAAACTCCACATCGTCTTTTCCCCCTTCAAAATCGATCCCAGACCCCACTCTAGGATAAGGATCTGCTCCGGATATTGGAATGTTAAAACCTCATATCCTTTAACATTTTAGTCTGGGGTGCTTTGAGATTTTGTATACTTTTATAGCATGCCATGACTGAAAATGGTTGAGAAACACTGGTAGAGTTTCAGCTTACAGAGGATATGTTGGGCTACTACTCTCGCATAGCACAAGGTTTACTGCTGTTGCTACATTTTCATACCAGGGGCGTCCATTGTAGTTTTCGACTAAATAATTTGCAAATCGATATTTTTTTTTTAATGCGTTATACAAGAATAAAGCTTCAATGTGCTAAATATAGGAAAGCTGTACAGAATGTGCGGGTCATTTGCTGATTCATTCCTTTGTGTATTGTCAGTAATACTCTGGTGATCAACTCACAGTTCTTTGTCTTAACTTTCCTTCTTTGTAATCTGAGTGTTATTCAAATGCTGACATTTGATCACCGGCACACCAACTTTTGCTAGTGAAAGCCGACTTGAATGTATACGAATCTGACAAGTGCTTTTTGCCGTGCGCTCTTTGCACAGTGCAGGCACAGAAAATGATCTGGAAGAGAAGCCATGGAAGATGTGGCAAGCACGTGACATAAGGGGGATTTTTAATGATGTTTTCTCACACTTGCCGGCCTTATTACCACTTCTATTAAGGCCTCATGCAAACACAACGCAAGAGCAAAATTGTATATTGCGTATACGCGCACACTATATGCAATCCCAGAATGCATCATTCTTAATAGAAATTTTAATGTACTGTACGTGCGTGCGCGCGCACACGCGTATATGTGCATACAATACGCAGAAATACGCATCTCGGGTCCATTCTGTTTTTGCACATCTTTACACAGCGCAAATATACGGCTCCATACGCAGCTATGTGTATGGAGCCATTTATTTGCATATGGAAAAAAATAAGCTGCGCGCATCTATACGCAGCGTATTGTACGACAGTGTGAATGAGGCCCAAATAATGCAGAAATAATATGTACAGTAATGCTACAGCGCGCCCTTAAACATTTTTTTTTGGGGTGCACATTGCAAGTATTTTTAGCTTCTATAAGCAATTTTATCTTCTTTATCATCTTTAACCATTTGAAGAGCGAGGTGTTTTACCCCCTTCCTGTCCAGGCCATTTTTCAGTATTCAGCGCTGAGGTACTTTGACATTTGTTCAGTTATGCAATGCCGTACCAAAATGAATTTATCATTTTATTGGGGACAGATAGAGGTTTTTTTTTTTGGTGGTATTTCATCACCACTGGGCTTTATATATTTCAATATATAAACAAAAAAGTACAGATAATTTTGGGGGAAAAAACTCTCTTCCCTACATATACAATAAAATATGTATTACCCAAAATATGAAAGATGGGGGAACGTCCGGTATTTAGACACCAAGCAAGTCCAGCCTTAAATTGCGTGCGCACACAAGCTCGCAAAAAACAAAACCAAAAAAACATACAGAAAATTGGCCATAGACAACGCTTTAAAAGCTTTTCCCACTCATGAATTTAGTGTGATCTATTAATGATGGCCCTAGAAATATTGCTCGTACTCTGACGTTTGCAGTGATATGTAACGTGGTTAATTGTCTTCGCAACATAGGCGCACCCGACGTGTGTTTTGCGTTTGTATGTGTTGGCGGGGGACTTAAACTTTTTTTTTTTCTTTCCTTTTTGTATGCGTTTTTAATTTATAAATTTGCTTTTTTTTTTCTCAAAGAATTAACTTTATTGCTCATCACATAGGGGGCTAATAATCCCACCAAGTGATAGCAAAGAGGATGTGATAGGTCCTCCTTTATGGAGACCTCTGATGTCACCTAGGGACCCTCAAATAAGCTAATGAAGCGCAGATCTGCTTTTTTTTACCTTCTCCTACAGCAGCTTGAGAAATGACAGCCTGAAAGCAGAAGTGATGTAATTCACATCACTGCTGCATTCAGTGATCGGAGGGAAGATCAGTCAGTGGAATGTGCTCATCTCCCCTTCGATGCAGCCACGGAGACCCGACGTGCTGGTCCCGGGCCCAAACAGTGGACAGGGGAGCCCCAGATAGCTGCGGCAGAGGGAGGGGGGGGGCACATCCTTCCCACACCATACAAGCAATTGGGCAGCTCTATAGCCGGCCAAACGCTCGGGAGCAGGAAAGGACGTTTAAAAACGCCCATAAACACTTTTGTGTCTGCAGTTTGCCCTTTAATTTACAATGGGCCGGACAGCAACCAGTTAATATAGTACTGACACTTTTATAATATAGTTTGTTACAAAGACCATTGAAGCATTTAGGTCAGACCTTTCCAGCGGAAGGAGAACACAACCTAATGCCCTCACTACAGTCATACACTTACACTGTAGGAGCAGGCAAGCTACCTGTACATGGCAGAGCTTTGCCTGTTCAGAACAGCCTGACAGTCAGACTATATAATGTGTTTTCTGCTTCTTTCAGGTCCGTGCCCACCAGCTCGTCCTACCTCCGTGTGATGTAGTGATAAAAGCCGTTTCTGAATATGTGGCAACAATCAAAGACTCCTCTAATTTGGACACAGTGGGGAAAGAGATTTTCAGACATTCTCAGGTGTGTGTTTTTATTGTCACCAAGTTTGTGAATAAACGAGCAGAAACATTGAGATTTAACTTGCATTCAAACTATTCAATTGTGGCTCCTGATCCGGGTACTTCCACGCACGGCATGCCGATGTGGCTGCTGGAGCCATATAATATTGGCTCTGCCTGAGTTGAAGCATCTCCTTTTTGATTTTTACAATTCATGTCAAGATTTGAATGTTTTTGTTTCACAGTCCAGGACAGAAGATAAGATCGAACGATTTAAAAAAGCTGTGGAATATTACTCGGTTGCAACCAAACAGCGTCCACCCCAAATGAATCCGTCGCCTTTTGTTGGTGAGTAGTTCATTTTAGCTGGCTGTGTGCTCCTGCTATGCAATAGTATATTTAAAACTGGACTCTAGGCAGATGTAAAAGACACAAAACAATGCAGATTTGTCATCAATAAATTTACTTTTTATTGCAAGCAGTGCAAGTACCTGAATTTGACCTGGTAGCCTATTGCAGTTCCTGCAGCAGTGCTGGAGTGTGGGAGAAAGAAGCAGCACAAGGAGCTAATCCATCCAAATGCTGATGGGAGAAAGCAGAGAGATGAGCTCATCACTATGCTGTGTCTTCTTTCACTGTCCAGTCACATGCTGGGGGTGGGTCCAGGTAAAATCGGGGCTCATAGGAAGTAGATTTATTTTTGCTGGCCATCAGATAGAGAACATCTAGAAAAAGAATAGCGCTGGGGTAATCTCTATATTGAACATGAATATTGCAGCTAAAGCTGCTTTTTTTAAAATATTGTATCTTTTTTAATGGGCTTTTCATTTTTAACTTATTTTTGGATGTAGTTTTGCTTTAAGGTACTGCTGTAGTACTAACTGGGAAGTTTAATGAATAGCCATCAAATCATGTTAGCGTGTTTTTTTTAAATATTTCCCTTGCCAAATACATTTTATATTGTTTATATATATATTGGCATGAATGTTTCTATTAGTTGCAGGGTACCCTCCCAATCAGTTTGGAGTACCTCCTCTTCCTCATAACCAGATGGGAGGAATGCATGTTGGGAAGCCCATGGTGAGTTTTGTATTAAGTGTATCCTAATATAAGATAATGCAGTGTAATGTAGTTTACCAGTCCTTCGATGTGGTGGCTGCATTTGTTATTTTTTTCCCCTTTATTTTCCCCTGGTGATCCTGACCGTAACACACTTCTTGTTCTAGGGTGACAACGCTCGCTCACCGTGTGCTGGACAGCTGTAGGCTGCCATGAGTATTGCTTAGGAATAAATGGGGCCGCCATAGAACTGCTGCAAATGAAGTGTGTTTCTGCTTATGGCGTTATAATTTAAATTTCATTCACCTACACTAGATAAAAAAACATTTGGTTACGATAGATAACAAAACCCATAAATCATCCACAGTACTGTGTATGCTGCGACATATTATTAAAGTGACACTGAACTCGGGAGTTAAATCTTAAAAACATTCAGTTACCTCAACCATTAACAGAAATGTACCTTATATGTGTATCACTCGGCTGTAGAGCCTCAAATCATCTCTGAATTGGTGCTGACACTGTCCTTCCTTCTGGAGGGGGGCTACTTTTGTCCCCCATGGTCCCTGTGTGTGTTGTAAAGTAGTCATCGCTCCAAGCTTACTCCTGTGATGGACTATAATCTCAATGCATGTTAGTAAACCAAATGTGAGATTGTAGTCCATCACGGGAGTGAGCTTGGAGTGGTGACTACTTTACAACACATAGGGACCATATGGAAGAAAAGTAGTCGCCCTCCAGAAGGAAGGACAGTGTCAGCACCAATTCAGAGATGATTTGAGGATCTACAGCCGAGTGATACACAAATAAGATACATTGTTGTTAATAGTTGAGGTACTTGAATGCATTTTTGAGCTTTAAAGGAGAACTATGGGGTCAGTGTTTTTCCCCATAGTTCTCCTTGGGGTAATGGGAGGACACAAACTAGCGTCCTCCAGTCACCCTAAGCTCAGTATACCGCGAGCTACAGCTCGCGGTATACTGAGACGCCGCACCTGGAGCGGATCCCGACTTAGATGACGTGATCCGCCCAGCTGCGTGAGTGACAGCTGCCTCTGCCTATCTAGAGGCAGAGCCAGCTGTACCCGCCCCCTCCCCGTCCGTTCCGCCAGTCAGCGCTGGCAGATCGGAGAGGGGAATCCAGCCCCTCCCCCTGACACGGCAGAGAGCCGTGGCAGGATCGAGAGGTGAGCGAACGCCGGTATGTGTTCTCTCACCTCCCGATCTACTGAGCCGACCTGTGACAGTCTCATTGTCACAGGTCGGCTTAGAACTATGAGGTGAGTGGAAATCACTCATGTCATAGTTCTCCTTTTAACTC